TATGTATGTATGGACTGTCTGCACAACTCTCAGTAAAGACATAAGAATTGTAATTCACATATCAAACTGTGCTAACTTTAATAAGTCTAAAAAAATAGATGAGATACTTAATAAAAGGCTTCTGTGCAAATATTTATACTTCAGTATCAATATAAAGCAATAAAAGAAATGTAAAGGTAATGTATAAAAAGGGAAAATATACTAATAACTCACACAATGTTAAAAACACAAATAGCAATTCATATATCCAATTGGCATAGCAACTTTGTTGTAATGCCCGTGCTTCAGAGGAGCAAAACAATCATTCCATGCAAGTAAAAGAACAAATACAACATTACCAATATGTGGGTAGTCGATGCTGGTTACAAAAATAAAATACAAAAATTTTTGATACCTCCCTACTCTAGCTAACCACGCCATCTGGTTCTTCTTTCTTTGGGGCTTTGCTTCCTTTCCAGAGATGGGGAAAGGCCTTTGCCCCGACATACTCATAGTCAGGCAGTGGCCCTATCTTCAGTTCTCTGGCCCATTGGAGGTCAGTCCATCTCCAGGCACAGTCACGTCAAGTGGTTTCTTACGGGAGAGTTTCTGTCTAACCCTCATAAGAACATAAGAAAAGCCAATGTTGGATCGGGCCAATGGCCCATCCAGTCCAACACTCTGTCACACAGTGGCCAAAAATATCAGGTGCCATGAGGAGGTCCAGCAGTGGGGCCAGGACACTAGAAGCCCTCCCACTGTTGCCCCCCCCCCAAGCACCAGGAATACAGTGCATCACTTTCGTGCTCCTATGCATCATAGCTTTTCCTCATGGGACCTTCATAGAATACTTATGATGAACCTCCTTTTGAACCTCTGGAGTTGTCTCCTCTGAAGATACTGTCCTTCATGGTAGCCATCCTCATAGCCATCACATCAGGCAGGAGAGCTCGGAAGTTTCAGCCCTCTGAGTAAAGAAGGAACTTTACTCTTTCCATAAGGACTCCGTGACACTACATATCCTTTGTTTATGCTGAATGTAAACTCAGTGTTCCACAAGGCAAGAAGATTCATCTCCACTTCTTCTGTCCACATCCTAGTCAACCTAAGTAAAGTGGCTGGCACAAACTTGAAGTCAGAAGAGCACTGTGCAGTTACCTGAAGTGTACAGAGACTTTGTGACATTCAGACTCAATGTTCATTTCCTTCTTGATCACATTGGAAAGGTTTTTAAGCCAACCACAGCCAGATGGATCAAAGTCTGAATCTTCTTGCATACAAGATCCAAAGATTCAACAACAAGGGCACTTTCAGGAGTCATTGCCCATTCTACCAGGATGGCTGCTACCTTGGCAGCCTGCTCCACAAATGCACCTATTGAGGAAATTTGTAGAACAGCTATGTGGGTTTCAGCCTCAAGCTTAGTGAGGCTTTATAGCCTGAATGCCTTTGCCTCAGTGAGAGGGCATTCATCAGAAGAGTCCTTCAAAAGGTTGTCACTTAATGACTCCTCCTTTTCATTTCTGTCGCACCTGGGATTCTGCAATTTTTCAAACCCCCAATATTAAGGGAACTGTCTTCCACTTGTAGAGAATAACATATGGAACTTACCATGTGTATTTCTTCTCATCAGTGGAATGGAAAGTTAGCCTTCCCTGCTCTTTTTGGTGGCAGAGGAATCAGGGAGGATTGTCTCCTTTTCCCCTTGGAGGGCAGATGTTCTTAGACACCTTTTTCATTAATAGCAGGAAAACTATAGAAGTGGACTGCTTTTCCTTAGAAGCTTGGCAAGTCAGGAGGAAGCCTTGCTGAAATAATTTGCATTAAGCACTGCCCATGAAATAGGGAGTAGGAGGAAACATAACCCAGTCTTTAAGGATATTTTCCATTCCACTGATGGAGAGTCATAAACTGGGGTCTGTGTTCAGCTGATGAAGACTTGCAAGTCCAGTGTTTCATTTTAACTTCAATTGGAATGTTAATTCTAGGGATTTGTGGTGAAACTTCACTGTTGATATTAGTTGCTATGACTAATAGGTGAATTGGGAGTTTGATGAACCTGAAGGCTCAAGGTTGGATTTTAAGGAATGGAAAGTAAATTCATTTTCAGGCACAGAGAAGGGAGTATGTATATTAGATGTAGTTTTATATTTCAAAGATCTGGGAAAAAGTAAATTTTAATTGAGGAATATGCTTCTTTTATTCTATTTGGAACTTTCAGTCTAGAGGAATACATTTACTCATAATCTCTTGAACAACCATGGAAATAACATATTCAGGCTCAACTATCCGTAGGCATACCCTTTAAATTACATTGACTAAAATATTAGTTAAGTAGATAACTTGTCTAGGTCAATTTTAGTTCAAATAAAAATGCCATTGATTAGTTAAAGATTTATTTGATGCACAGTTTTGTTAAATAAAATAAATAAAAATTGGGAAAGGCAGAAATGTTTAATTGAATATTCATTTATAATCCACCTTCCTCACTGGGATTCAAGGTAGGAAATATAGAAAGATGTAACATAGTTCTAAAATAGTTCTTATAAAAGAGCCCTTGTTTTTAAATATTGAGAATGCACCAAGTCACATATCAGTCTATAAACTAGGGATGGGCACAAACCTAAAAAGGGCGGTTCGCTTCAGGGTGGCCCACGAACTGAACGCCAAACCGAATAGACCCAAACGATCCCTGCCTGAACTGGTCCAGCAAGAAGCTGTGGCCCGGAGAAAAGGGGCAGGGACTGCCCTGGAAGGGACTCCTTTCCACCTTTCTCTGCACTGCGGCTCGCTGGGGCCAGGAGAAGGAGGGATTGTCTGGGAAAGGATTTCCTTTCCCCCTTTTTCCTGGCCATGACTTGCTACAGCTGGGAGAAGGGGAATAGGGAGTTAAGAGTTAAATGGCTCAGGAAGAGTTAAATGGCTCAGATCCATTTCACCCTTCAGTTGCAGCCATTTTACCCTTTGGCTTTCCCCTCAAGGGCAGGAAGCAAAACTGAAGAGTTAAATGGCTGTGGACCATTTCACACTTTGGTTTTGCTTTCCCCCCTTCAAAGGGGGGGAGCAAAACTGAAGGGTTAAATAGCTGCCAGATGGTCATATAAACCAAACCTAATAGTGGAGCAACAGACTCTGTGCTGTTCTGCTGTTAGGTTTAAAGCTGGCCCTGAAACAGCCAAACCAAACCAGTCAAAAGTTGGGTAAATGTTCGGGGGAAGGCGCCTCCCCTGAACAACAACATCATTCCCCCCTCCCTGCGAAGCAGGCTCAGAGTGGTGCACAACAGAAAGACTAAAACAATTCATCAATTTCTATGTACAAATAAATACAAAGATTTTAAAAACAATTAATATACAGAGTATAGACCTATATGGCATCATATTATCAATTTGCACCTCGTTGGCGGGGGAGAAAGGTGAGAGGTGCAAATTGGCTAATTTGCTGTTAAAACCGTGTTGCTGTCAACCATATGCTTGGCAGAACATCCCACAGGGCCCTGATGTTATTTGGTAGAGAGAATTTTGGCTCGTGAGCCGGTTTGTGCTCATCCCTCGTAGAAACTTCCATGAAAAATTTACCCATACCTTGATGATACATTCAGATAATTCTGTCTGCTTGACAATCATTGGTCACTTCTGATGACAGCAGTCACCTCTTTGTCTGGGAACTGTATTCAGTCTCTCCATAAACAGATTCGCTGCTGAATACATAGTTTGCAGTTTATTACTGAGGATCTGTACAGAACTCTGTTGAGTGCATAGTTCTTTATTCGTTGGGGGATGCTTATGTACTTTCATTGGATTAGGATTTACTTATATAGCTTCACGCCATTTTCACAGAGATATTCCTCAGGCAGATAAGTGCGGGTAGAATTGTTAATATACAAAGAGATGCCAATGTTGGATCAGGCCAAAGGCCCATCCAGTCCAACACACAGTGGCCAGAAATACCAGTGCCATCAGGAGGTCCACCAGTGGGGCCAGGACATTAGAAGCCCTCCCTGTTGACTTCAATAAAAAGAAATGATACCAACTAAATTACATGGAAAAAATAGACGTGAAAAGCAGGGTCAGACATGATGTTATGTGTAACATTATTACATAATTCTCCAAATAAAAAATAAAATCTACTGATATTTCTGTAGAGCTTTTTGAAGACCAGCATACATTTAGTGATAATAAAAAAATATAACAGGAATAAGTTCTTATGTTGCAGGTGCACAGTCAAGATGCACCTACTTCTTTCATAAAAGCTCAATACAGATTTAATAAAAATACAGTACTGATTCAGACGTCATGCCAAATCTCCTCCTACTCACAGGTTCCCTCCTCTAATTCCCTTTTTTGCTTACCATAGTTTGCTATGCACGTGAATATGCAAGCTAAGTACGTTTATAGGCCATTGTTTGATGATCCCTGGTGGTGACGGCGGCAGCTACTGAAATATTGAGGGGCTGGGTTGAAAGGGGTTTCCCATAGCTGGGGATTTGTGGCTCAAGGAGAGCACACACCTAACCATTTTAATTTACCTTAGGCTGGAAGGTGGCAGAAGATGAGACGAGAGGGTGTGTGAGACATGGTTTGGAGATTAACACTAACCATGATTTGTCAGTTCAGGTGGTGTAGTCAGCTGTAGTTAGCAACTGCTAGGAACCTATGTACTTAGGAGTTGAGGGGAGGGAATGTGACCCACATAAGGACTCCTTTGCCAGTCTTTGGTTTGGTGTTCTATCTGAATTAATCTCATTTCTTAGAGGGTAAAATGTAATAGGTTCTGGAAACGGTTCTAGAGTTGATGTTATCTTTTATCTAAATATTAATCGTAGACATGTATTATTGATTGATTAAATACTATGCTTCCTTTGATCTTGAGATGCTGATGTATCTCCATAGGATACTTCTCTGTCTTTCAAAATTAACATGAGGTAGGTTCCTCAGAACTATGCAGGCAACAAGCAGGAATAAATGATGAAGTTTGATTGAATGATCTTACAAGTTTACTAATAGAAATCTCTCTTTCAGTAAAAGAAGAGCATGAAATGCTAGAAGAAACCAATGATGATGAACCTATTAAAGCAAAGAAACGAAAGTAAGTTTACCTAAAATTAGTAGATGGCATTCATTTATATGAGATTCCATGTTTTAGTGTAACTGATAGTTAAGACTTCCTGTGATTTATCTGTTACTAATGCTCTGAGGAAATGTAAATTTCAAAGCAGAGTAAAACTCAGGGAGAAGAATTCATCTTTTGTCCAAATAATAAAAGTCCGTATGCAATAGCCTTTAAATAGTATTGTGTTAGCTTAATTGCATAATTATTGTGTGGAATTATCAGTAAGCCATTCAACCTATTTCTGTGAGCAAGATACATTCCAGTAGCAGCTAACAAAGTCAGACCATCTTGAAATGACATATAATGTGATGCTGCTCCTGTTGGGCTGTAAAATACACAAAAGATGTGGAGACACAAAGCATCTTGAGGTAGGATAGAATGTCCCTATCTAATCTCTGTATGTGAACATGAGCACAGACACAAGTGTAGAGTACCTTCTGCATACTTGGAAGAAATCGAAGTATGACCCAGGCCAAATTCTGTCCATAAAACAAACACAGCCCCAACACAGTAGCTGTGTTATTATGGCAGAAGATCTTCTCAGTAGACATTCTGAAGGTACCTTGGAACAGAACCAACTTCTTTGGCCTGCAGCTTGGTAGTCTAAATTGTCAACTGTGGTCCATGCAGATGGGGGGCATTCTTGGGCTCCATAATTTGTCTGGAATGTAGATGGGGGAGAGGCAGATGGGGGAGAGGCAGAAAGGCATAATTCACTACAAGATAATGAACTGTGGTAGGTAGGCTAGCTAAGAGTTCCCCACAACTTGTATCATTGCAATAACAATAGACCTTGCTGAGGAGGGAGGTTAAAAGCTGGGCTATCCCAGATCTTCATTATTTAATGGTCTTTTGGTATGAAACGTAATATCCTCTTAATCCTGATAGGGGAAGGGTGTTTGATATTGTGTCTCAGAAGCTGCGTTTATTTGAATAGCAATGGGATTGAGGTGAATTTGCTTATGAGAATAGAGGATGTGCATGATTCTGTGGTTTGTCCCCAAATCCTAAAGAAGGGGTAAGTTTTTATGTTTGTACTGGGCCTTAGAAATGTCTGTGTGAGTATGGAGAATTAGCTTTTCCCACAGTGTAATGACTTTTTTAATCACAAGATTGATGCTTCAGTGGAACTGGGTCATTCATTTGCAGCCTACAAAAGCATAGAAATATTCGTCTTGTTGGATATTTGGGCCTAGATAGTCTGGTTCTAATGTTGTTTCCACAGTGAACAGAAAAACTGATAAACTGAATTCACCCTGAACGTGTATCCCTGGAGTGTTGGGGAATGAGATTTCCTAATTGCAGTTTTGATTCTCTATGGAAAGCTGTATGTCTTTATTTTTATAGGAAAGAAGATAACAAAGACATTGATTCAGAGAAGGAGGCTGCCATGGAAGCAGAAATTAAGGCTGCTCGAGAAAGGGCCATAGTTCCTCTGGAGGCTCGAATGAAACAGTTCAAGGACATGCTTCTAGAGAGAGGGGTCAGGAAGTATTCCTGTATTAATAAGAACATTGAACATTTTTTTTATTGGGTGGTGACCATTAAATAGGACTGGAACAAAAGTTATATTATGTACAGGGACATTGAAATCTTATAACTGAATAATAAAGAGCATAGTGGCTAAATTATGTGCTTTTTAATATAAAGCTAACAATGGTCTTCTTTAGGGATAGGCATGAACCAGCTCACAAACTAAAGTTCATCATGAATTTTGGGCAGTTTGTGGTTTGCAAATAAATGCTCGCAACCTGAAGAGCCACTCCGAGCCATTTCACCCTCTGCTTTCTGCTTGCCACCAAAAGCAGTGGGGAGCAGAAACCAGGAGTTTAAATAGCTTGTGAACCAGTTCTGTTCACAAACCACAAAAATGCAGTTTGTGCTCATCCCTAATCTTCTCTTCAGTTTACCTGATGCATGTTAGGGCAGTACGTTTCCTAGGCAGCTGCTATGTCCATTCTTGAAAGTGTGGGGAGAGTGATTAAGAACCGCAAGTGAGCTTAAATTTGAGTTCAGAAATCTCTTGTGGGTGCAGGGGATGATAGACTTCTTAGCTTGTGGTGAACTATCAGTGTAGTTCTCCAACATAATTTTTATGACATTTTCTGGTTAAATTTGTTGTTTTCCAGGTTTGTTTTCTGTTGAGTAGTGCCCAGAACTCTATGTGTGTGAAACTCTCTAGTTCACATGAGTGAGAAATAGAAGGTTCAGAAAACTACCTATGGAGGCATAGGAAATCATAATGCAGAACTTCAAAGTTATCTTTTGATGTAGCAATTTTTAAATGTCACACAGTAGTGGTTATTTTAATGAGTAATTAGGTGTGTGTTAGTTCTGTGTAATTATGTAGACTTTTCTGAACCAATTAGTGTGGAAATTTGCCATGCTGACCTCCTGCAGGTCATAATCTATTAGTGATGAAACTGCTGTAAGGGTTTCAGTTATGGGTCCTTTTAAACAGATGTCCTGTAGATTTCAAGCAGAACTGCACAACTTGCATGGCTTTGGGTGAGTTTAATTGCCAGGAAAAAGCACTTTTTTGTTCTTTTTTTAAAAAGGTTTCTGCTTTTTCTACTTGGGAGAAGGAGCTACATAAGATAGTTTTCGATCCCCGGTACTTGCTTCTTAACCCTAAAGAAAGAAAACAGGTACTTTTTCACCATGTGGTAATTATATTTGTATTTATAATTCTTATAAACAAAACTTATAAAATACAGTACTGATTCAGACGTCATGCCAAATTTTATAATTCTTATAAACAAAATATTTACACTATACAAAGTGTTTTGATGAAAGTTACATTTTGAGGGTTTCTTGGAAAAATGGGAATTCTGATATCTGGGAATTTCAGAAAATCAAGACTTACAAAATAAGAAGGCGTGGGGAGTGTCCACTGAAGTTCTCAAGACAGAGAAGATGACTTGTTTTTATGGAGAAAAGAAAGTTTCACACCCTCAAATGTAGCAGTAGGTATAGATTTATATGTTGGCAGAAACGATTGTCCTCATCCCAAAATAGTTATACCAAAATACTAATACCAAGAATATTGAGCAGAAATCCAAATACTGTGAAAATTAGCATTTTTATAGTTAATAGTGATGTTGTGGTCCCTGTGCATATAACATGAAGGGCAGAGAGAGTAGTATTTACCCAAGTATACAGAAATGCATGATTTTTCCTTGTGGATGCCTCCCTTCCAAAGGGATTAGTCAGTCTGCATTTCCATGTGCATGTCTAAGCAGACTCTTTCATCTCATTGTTAGGTCACTGGATAAAAGAGCAAGAGACTGACCTCTCCATTGAGACCCCTTGGGAACTTGAGTTGCACACCTTGCCATCTGCTAAGGTTGCTAAGACAACCAAAATGGTGGCCAAACTCTCATGGGATTGAGAAGATAAATTGTACAAGGGTGTTGGGAAGGATGTGGAGAGAATAAGGGATGCATCTAATATGGTGAATGAGGGGGAAGGAAGAGATAGAATTGAAGGAAGGGGAAAGGCAGAGCAGGGGAGGAAAAAAGGGATAAAAGGAATAAGGAAACGTTTAGAGAGGGAACTGAAGGGGAGTTGAGATCTAACGCAAATGGGAAAGGATTATTTTTAATGAGCTTCTGTATTCATACTCTGCACAGCGGTTTTCATATACAGCTGAACTTAAGGGGTATATGGAAATTGATTGATTCAATTTATAAACTGCCCACCCCCAAAAGGCTCAGGGCAATGTACCGCATATAACAACACTTCAATAAAACAATTTAACAATTACAATAAAAACAATACAATGAAAAAATAAGCTTATCTAGAGGTGTCAGTTTATACCCTCCCCATGGGGGGTGGGCAGGAGGTGGAGTCCAGGCTTGCTGGTAAACCATTCCTGTCCTCAACCGTATGGCTGTTGGAACATTTCTGTAAGTTTCATTCAGAATTAAAATTTTATTCTGTCCAGTCTTTTCTCACAAAGATGAAAATAAATGAGTTTGTGGAAGGGAATAATCAGTGTTTTAAATGATTTTTAGAAGTACATTCTGCTTATATATGTTGACCTCCATAGAATAATCAGTGTTTTAAATGACCTTTAAGGCCTTGCACGGTCTGGAACCAATGTATTTACGGGACCATCTCCTCCATTATGTCACTGGGAGAGCGTTATGCTCTGCAGATCGCAACTTACTGGTGATCCCTAGCCCCAAAGAGGTACGACTGTCCCTGACCAGAGCCAGGGTCTTTTTGGCCCTGGCCCCATCCTGGTGGAACTCTCTAATACGGTCAGAGCCCTACAGGACCTCATGCAGTTCCACAGGGCCTGCAAGGCACAGATGTTCCACCAGGCTTTCGGCAGCGACAGTTTTCCAACATGGCTGGAACCCCCCCCATCCCCCCCAAACAAAACAAAAAAGAACTTAGAAAGTGACCAAAACCATTCAGAATTCCAGATTTTCGATTGCATAGTTGTTAGTGATGCCATCTTGAATTTGTTTTCCATTGGTTTTTAATACTATTAATTTTATTATACCTAATGTTTATATATTGTTACTAAGGCTTATGCCATACCATACATCACCCAGACCCTGGTGCCAATCAGGATAGGGCGATCAATAAGTCTGATAAATAATTATTATTATAATATATCTAGATCTCCATAGTAGTAGTTTCCAAGTTTAGAAAATCTTTTAATAGAGCCATCTGTACTTGAGTGCAGGGATCATTTGCATATCTGCTATGTTGTATCAAGTGCCATCACCTCCTGATGGCACCTGGTATTTCTGGCAACTGTGTGACACAGAGTGTTGGACTGGATGGGCCTTTGGCCTGATCCAACATTGGCGTCTCTTATATAGGTGAAGCCTCCTCATACAAAACACTGCATATCAACAGTGACTTCTCTAGGGCCCTGTGGGAATGAGATGCATACCTTACTTTTACCTTGTAATCTCAGGTCCCTTGAATAAATAAAGATGTGTTATATTACAAAAGTAAAAAGCAGATAGCCCTGATCATAAGTGTGTTGTAAAATTTCTATTTTTGCTGTATTATCCAGTTCAGAGCATATGTAAATAAATGATGAACTCAACAACATTATGATCCGGTTATTATGAAATACAAATATTTCACAATCTGTAGTGAAATAATGCCTTTGTGTCCATATGAGTTAAAACAGAGCACTGCAGAAAAAAATCATTTAAGTTTTGCTTTGCCCTTCTCATGTCTTCTGATGATGGCATTCCATGTGGGCATTTTGTACAGCATGCTCTTTGGTACTTCTGTAGGTATTTGATCAGTATGTGAAAACCAGAACAGAGGAAAAGGGTAAAGAAAAGAAAAACAAAATAATGCAGGCTAAGGAAGATTTCAAGAAAATGATGGAAGAAGCAAAGATTAATCCCAGGTAAGATTTTTTTCCTCATTTTGTGGTGAAGCACCTTTTTCCAATGAGGTGATGTTAGAGTGTGTGTTTTCCTCCACTCTGTTCTAGCGTTCTTGGTTCTGTTGTATTTAAGGGTTTCATTTGCTTGAAGTCCACAACTCTGCAAGCTTACTGCTGTTAGGTCAAATTCTAATAGTAGCTATTTCAGGATGGCTTTAATTTCAGAGTTGTTTTTGATATTTTTATATTCAGTATTTGAATATATTGAGTGGTCCCATTTTGGCAAAGTACGTTTACATATAGGCCCCAGGTATAAAACTCAGGGGTCCGGAAGTGCAAGCCATTCTATAGCCAACAGTGTGGAAAGCCCCATCTGGATTTATCCCTATTTAGTTACAGATTTGTATCCTTGTATGTTTAATGACCAAATGAATTTTCACAGGTTAATCATATTATATGCATCATACTACTGATATGGAATTAACATGATACTTTTTAAGCCTAAACCAGATAGGAGTTGTTTCGTATTAATAGTTCATTTGTTTTAGTTGGGTATGATTGTTTCAGCAAAATAAAGTGAAACATATGAGAAGACTACTGCTTGCTATTATGCCTGAATTTACCCGATTCTGCGAACAGCTCTTGGTCAGTGGGGGTAGAATAAAATTTGGAGTAGATAGAATACTGATCTTGAAAATAATTGTTTTCCATCAAACTCTTTTACTGGTTTAGTGTTGAAATATTTCTTGCTGTCCTTTGTAGCCCAAAAGACACAGAAATAATTATTTCTATTGTATTTTTTTCCTGGTTTTTGTCAGCAGCAAGTAAGAGGAAATGAAGGTCTGAAGGGACCTGAGTGTTTTGTTATTGCTGTTTATCTTCTGATTTTACTGTTTTTATCTGTAGAAGTGACACCCTAAGGATGTTTGTGCTCCTTGTATTTTATATGTTCAAGAATTTGTGTCCAGCCTCTTTCTTGCTTTCGCAGCTGACTTTCTTTAGTATAGGTTTACATTCACTTCCAGTCAATTGAATAAGCTACCAAATTCTTCTCTTGTTTTAATTTACCCTACAGCAACAGTAGGCGGAATTTTCCAAGTCTAATTATTTCCATGCTGTGATGAAAACATTCGTAGGATTATAATGTCTCACGTAATCTTGGGGCCAGATTAGCATCAGATTTTGGAAAAAGCACAGTAGTGTTTTTTCCCCCTGAGGTAAGTGGCAGTACTATATCTACTGCACATCTGAGATTTGGAATCTGGCCCTGGAGGTGAGAGTATTGTAACGATAAATGCTGTAGGAAGAAAGGGTGGAAAGTGCTGCATACAGTAGTTTCATGTTGTTAGTTTCACTTCAGGCATAGTTGAATGGTGAGTGATAACTTTGCTTTGCGTAACAATGAAGGAACAGGGCAGGCTGGTACCTGAAGTTCTGAAAGATTATACTCTGATGGAAGAACTGCACTAAATGGGTATACTTTTTTAAAAAAATAAAAATTTGCATAACATTTTTTAAATAAGGAAAAGTATAACACTTTTCTTCTTGAACACCCATCTGTGTTATAAGGATACATGTGTGTTGATGTTTAGGACATACGCTTCAACAGAAGAAAAGCATTATGCAGTTGTGCTGCTGAATGATGTTTCAGCTAAGAAAGCTCTGCCAAATCAGTACACTTGCCATTTTGTTACAGAACTACTTTTAGTGAATTTGCAGCCAAGCATGCTAAAGACTCGAGGTTCAAAGCAATTGAAAAAATGAAAGATCGAGAGGCGTTGTTTAATGAATTTATCACAGCAGCAAGAAAGAAGGAAAAAGAAGATTCGAAGACCCGAGGAGAGAAGGTAAGATTTATTTTTTATTCCATGTGTGTGAAAGGAGTATGCATGAGAGGGGTGGGAGAAGGCCATCGCTAGTTTTCCCAGGTTCCCCTCCCCCAATTACTTTTACCAGCCCTCGATTTTTCCTGGTGGAAACATTCACCACCATTTCTATGCTATTAGAAAGAATTTAAAACTTGGAATGTGTGTATTATTCTAGGAAGTATTATGTATATTGTTTTTCACATAATATTCTTTTTTGCTAAATTAACATCTAGGTTTCAGAATCCTAGAGTATAAAAGGAAGTGCCTTGTCTGGCTGGAAAACTCCAGTCAGGTCATTATATGCCTCCTCTCTCAGTGGTGCCAGTAAGATATGAGAAGTCTTTGTGAGCAAATTTCAAACAGTTGCTTTACTTCTAAATGCTAACACTTCAGTGGTATGTGTGTGTGGATGTGAATGTGTGTGTTTTAATCTCCCAGTAAATGTATTTTAGTATGATTGCTAATCAGAATTAAAGGTCGACTATTAAAGATTAATGAATTCCAAATGTCATTTGTCTGCACTGTCAGTACAAGAGACCAAGTGCACAGTACTGGGGAAGGTGGATGCTATGAAGTATCTTCAGCAATATAGAGCTGCTTCAGTGTCCTACTATGTTGTGTGAATAAAGGAAATTTGCTCTCTGAAACCTAATCACTTCTGGTATTTTTGTTGCCCTTTCATAGATTTTGAAGTAAAGCTAATGTAAGTTCCACTCAGTAAGAGTGGGATGTAGATAGAGGCATGTATTATTATTTTATTAGTATAAAATTTCTCTGCCATATAGGAACAGGAAACCGTCACAGTCTAAATGTGAACCTGTTGTTAGTATTTACAAAAATAAAATATTCTCAAATATTTTGCTTATACTGTTTAAATGTCCTTTCGTGGTTCTTCATGGTTCATGTTCTTTTTAACAATACTGCTTAGCATTTATATAACACTTTTTGAGTGATCAGAGTGTTTCACATGCATTCTCCTGTTGTAACCCTGTAACAGCCCTGTGAGTTATGTGAGTACTATTATTCCCTTATTGTAGATGACGTACTCAGGCAAAAAGAATATGGCTTTCTTAAGGCCCTCTTCAGGACTGTGCTATACCAGAATGATTAGCTTTCTAGAGGCAAAAGCATGTAACCTGGAACACATACTTAGACTGCGTTTTAAATCTGTTGTCGTGTTTCAGGTGGTGGTGTTGCATCTAAACTATAATCAAAGAGAATAATTAAGAAGTAAATTCTTTAAGTTTGCATGAGTTACACAAAAAAATTGTATTAAAATTGTATTTATCTTTGCATTTGAAACTAATTATTTCTTTTTTCCCAAAGCCTCTTGTAACCATTTTATGTATTCTGTTTTGTAACAAGTGGATAGATTTTACAGTTTTGTGCTGTGCGGCCTGTCAATCAGTTCAGTCTGACAGCTGTCAATCACTGACACGCAAACTATTATGGGATTCCCTAGTGAGGAAAGAATTGGTATCTCTGTGTGGTGACTTTAGCCTCCCGCAGTTCCGGTACTTTACATTTTTTCAGTTTTTTTCCTTGTGAAGTGATGAGAGTTGTGCCCAGAATGTGTAAACTGCAAAAAAGAGGGGGGAATCCTCCTAATTACACATAGTATTTTCAGCCATATTTGCTTTTGCTGTGTTTCTATGTGAAAACCTAAGAGTTTTAAAAAGTGGTTACCGAGTTGTGAAGCTTTCTCAGCCAGTTTTCCAGAAAAGAAGTTTGAATTAAGAATTATGTCTTGTTCCACAAACCTTTAAAGTAAGGGTTTGAAACATGGCACTGTTGTGCTGACATTTTCCAACACTGTGGTTAATTCATTTCATGGAATTACAAAAGTTAGGATCTTTTAGGACCAGAAATATAATCACACTTTGGAGCTGAAGACGAAGATGTAAGGTACACCATTAATACTAGGCTTCTGTCATATAGCCACACACTGAAGGGAAGGCAAGAAGGAGTTTTCAGATGGCATTTTCAGACATTACCCAGTGTCTGTTGTGAGCTCTGAGTAGTTGAGTGATGGTCAAGTTAGTGTTGTCAAGTCTTCTGTAAGTGACTCCGTGCAATTTGCAGTACTTCAGTGTTTGTTTTTCCCCAAGAGTCGTTCAGTTCATTTTTAAAAGAAAGGTTAACGTAAAGGTAGCGTGGGTATCCAACTGCTCTTTTATAAAGACTGTAGTTATGATAAGTAACTACTTAAGTCATTTAAAGTCCACAGACTGTTTTTTACTGTCTTTGTTCTTTGCTTTAAAAGGTTGTGCTTTCTATTTATTGCTTACTGGTACTAGAAATTCTAAATGTTTTTCAATCCTAGAATAGTAATAAAATATTAGTTAGCCATCTTGATTTACTACATTTGCTAAAAAGAACAGTGGAAGAGTTGCCTTTGGCTGAAACATAGGTTATTCCCTTTTGGCAGAGGCAGCAGCACTAGGTGGTGAGTTCATGCTGGCTTTCAAGCTAGAATGAGGATGACAGCTGCTAGTTTCTATAGAGACAGGATGGCATGCTGTGTGGATATCAGGTACCATTGTTGGTAGAGCTGCTTCATGACTGTAGTGTTCCAAATGAACTTCAGCAGTCTCTTGAGATTGATTAATAAGCTTAGTAGACAGTCTGAAATGAAAGTAGAAAAGCATTTAACCCATTTGGTGTCTCTGTACCCTTACTTTAAAGGGACTACGGTGGCTCAAGTGGTTAAGACGCTGAACTGCAGGCTGAACTGCAGACCCTAGTTGCCGCATGATGGAGTGAGCTCCCGTCTCTAGTTCCAGCTCCTGCCAACCTAGCAGTTCGAAAGCAAGAAATTGCAAGTAGATAAATTGGTACCACTTTGGTGGGAAGGTAACAGCGTTCCGTGCGCCTTGGTGTTTAGTCATGCCGGCCACATGAGCACGGAAACGTCTTCGGACAACGCTGGCTCTTCGGCTTTGAAACGGAGATGAGCACCGCAACCCTAGAGTCGGACTCGACTGGCTTTCGAGCAAGGGAACCTTTACCTTTACCCTTACTTTAAAGTTTTTTGTGGAAGCACCTGAGATCGTAGCTTTTCCTGTTAAAACATAATTTCAAATGTATGGCTTAGAAGGCTTCATATTTTTATACTACTTGCATGTTATGTTAAATTTAGCTCTGAAATAACATATTCTTAAAAATAAGTTCAAGGCTGCTATGCATATTCCTAGGCACTAGTGTGGTAAATCACACCACCGTTATTGATTAACAGAATTGCCATATGTAACAGAGAGGCTGTTACCTAATTTTTATTGCCTTCAGATTATCAAAGTTAAAATTATTCTTGCATATCTAAATAGTTTGTCAAGAGCTAAAAAAACATGGTCGAGGGAAATTACAGGTTATTAACATTGTTCTGTACATAGCTACTGCTATTTGAAGGGATCTGGATCCTGATATTGCTGCTAAAGCAGTACATCTGTGTCAAGCAGTGTAGTTAAGTTACTAGAAATTGCTTTCCTGTATTGTGTTAAGGCTGGGCGTTTCCAGTGACACCACTCTGCATGATTGATCTGGGTTTTGTTGGGAGGATTTTAACAAGCTTACAAGTGAATAATAATTACGAAAGTGAAATTAGCTGTAGTTAGGCTATCTTCTCTCAAAGAGTTTGGTGGTGCTCTGAAGGTGAAATGCTTAGCAAGATGTCGACTAGGCTTAGTGAAAGGCTTGTTTCCATGAGTCAAAGGCTAGTGTGTGCATAATCACAGTGTTATGTGGTAAGCCATTTATGTGAAGCAGTTCTACATGTGATTGCAGAAATTTTAGCCTCACAATCACAACCCTTTAAAAATGCTTTTGCAGTTGTGTGGCTTAAAAAGCATGAGGAATTGATTTTCATAAACAGCTCTCTACTTCAGCTTCCAGTATATGTATAATACATAGCATCTTTGTAGGTGCTAAGGAGGAAGTGGAGCCTGGGATGGGGATGGGCAAGGGGGGTTATGCAGTCATTTATTTTGCATGTATTCATACAGGAGGAGAGGGGAGATCGTTGTATGAGACAGTTCAGTGTCTCTGCTTCACCTCTGCTATGTCATAGCAATGCTGAAAGGCCTTGTCATAATTCATACATTTTCTACTTTTTGAAAAAAATGCCAAACATTATTTCTGTTTTATACCTTATTTTAGTTTTAAGTTCAGCTGGGTAAATACATTTGTACAGCTGTATTTAACTGTGGCATTCTTGCTGTTGTCCAGTACTAGTTGCTACCCATGGTGCTCTTGGAATGTTAACTTACCCATATATTCCTTAATTCCGAAGTTGCATAAATTGGTGCTTCAAGTCCACTCTAAGGGGACAGTTCACCAAGCACTGCTCCTTTGAAAGAGTAACCTCCAGTGGTTTGAAAAATGACTGGAATCCATAAATTCAATTTACACATGTGTGATAGAGCTGTGGGCCAGTTTGTACACTAATTCACACAGACTTTCAATACAAGCAGTGGAAGAACATAAACAATTCTATGTACTCCCCCCACACACACTGTTTTAAAAGAGGGAGGCTTGCACAAACCTCACATATATCCCAACTTGTATACAGAGAGCCCATTCTGACAGTGGGTGGACTGGCCCTGGGAGTACAGTCTGAGTGTTTTGAATGGCTTTTGTGAGACCCATTTCAAGTGTGAATAAGGTGTACCACTTTTTAAACTAGATTTAAAAGTACAGAATAGAATAGTACAGTTTTTCAAAGAAACCATACCTGTTGAGGAAGTTCTCGCATGGCCTAAAACTGTGATGCTTACTTAGTTAATGGCTATACAGTCATTTAATGAACTACTCAGTGTGCATTTTGAATAACTTTTGCATAATATGTTCTACTATAATACATTCATAAAAGTTCCATCCAAAATTATATGGGTTAGAGATTCTAAAATCTAATAGCCTTCTGGAAAAACTTAATTTTGAGTATAGTAAAACCAGTTTTTGCCATCACGGTAAGTCTGCTTCTGCGTTTTTAAATAATTTTGCAAGCCATCAGTCTCTCTTAATTTGTTTCCTTTTTTCCCTTTGTCTTCTCTTTAAAATATAGATCAAAATGGACTTCTTTGAACTGTTGTCTAATCACCACTTGGACAGTCAGTCTCGCTGGAGCAAAGTGAAGGACAAAGTAGAGACTGACCCACGCTACAAAGCTGTGGATAGCTCTTCACAAAGGGAGGATCTTTTTAAGCAGTATATTGAAAAAATAGCCAAAGTATGTGTATTGCAGTAGTAATTGCTTTGGTTTTCTTAGTAGTTCACTATTGGAACAATTAACACCAGACTATGAAAATCTTCCTCGGAAAGGAATGTTTATTATATGTCTTTATTCATTATGTATTTTTTTGTCTTTCATATTGTATATATTCCCAAATTGGCATGCTTGTTCTGTTGTTATTTTATTACAATATGTATGGGCTCCTTTGGGTTCTGAAAGCATAAAACTGTGGGTAATTCACTTTCTGTCTTGATGAAAAGGGGAATATCTGTGTAGTAAACCTCACTGTTACACTCTGAGAATGGAAGCAGAAAAAATCTGACAGTGTTAAAACAAGTTAAAACAGATTAATCATAGCAGTCCAGCAGATAAAAATCTTCATCCTTCAAACAGATAAATTTAGGGACATGGTAAAAACTTAAAACAGTGAAGAGGTATAATTATCTACCCACCCAGCCCAGAGGGAATTCTAAGGGGTAGATGCTTCAACTAAAAAAAGCCTAGTTTCTAATGAAGTAGGTACTTGGAACGGGCTCATTAGATGATCTAAGTATATAGGACAGCTCACGGGTAGCCATGTTCCAGACTGTTTTGGCCTTTAAAGAGAAAGGCACTTTTGGATGGCTCCTAGAAGACAATGGGCAATCAGTAAAGTTATTCTAATATTGACATTCAAAAAGTGTTCAAGGGCAGCTCTATACTGAGTTCATTGTAACAGTCCAAATGTAAAAGTTAAGACTCAAGAGGCACTAGATAAGTCTGTGTAACTAGGGTTTATATCCAATCCAGTTTGGAGTGTCTCATCTCTTAAGAGAAGATGGAGCAAATATCCCAGTTCATTTAAATGGGAAAGGCTAGGCCTTGATAATATGTATATGGAAGAAAACAGTTGCTGCTTAAGGAAGACTGGAGGATTATGAGGAAAATATGTATGCCAAGGACACTTGGAAATGAAGTATGCTTTAACTGCCAGAGGCCTTCAAACCAAGATGAGGAGAACAGATGTGTGTTCTTAAATAACAGCAGGTTCGTTACCAAACCTGGTGGAGCAGAGCAGCAGTGGTATTGTTCCGTATATGAGAGAGATCCTAGAGTCCAGTAAAGGAGATGGCTTAAGAGAAATATACTTTTCCATAGAATTACTATGTTTGGCACTACTGATTCTGAAAAGTAATTTAATGGTGCGAACATACTGTTGCCCACCTAATCAAAAGTCTATGGGTGATCTTGAGATGGATAAAGAGATTAGGGAGGCAACCAGAGGGGCAGGTGGTGTTATAATGGTTGGTTTCTATTGTCTAATGATCTAGATGACTCCATTTTCAGGGAGTGATGGACAAAATTTCCAGATACCATTAATAACTGTGCATTGGAACAGTAAGTGATATAACTAACTAAGGGAGATGCAACCCTGAATTTGGCTGCAGGTGCTTAAGACTAGGTACAAAACGCAGGTATTATTAAACAAGTTGGGAATAGTAGCCATAGAGATAGTAAGTTAATCATATATTAAATGGATGGGCAGTAGCCCCAAAAGCCAAACATGGCCGCATTAAATTGAAAAGAGGAATCTTCAGAAAAAAGAATAGGTTAGTCAAAACAAAGTCTTATCCAGGTGAGGAGAAGCACAGCACAGGCCCAGGCAAATCTATGTTGATAATGGCTTGCAAAAAAGAGAGTTTGAGGAGCTTGTTGCTAAATTATTAAATGAAGAAAAAGAGTGTTCATCATCAATGGCATGAGCAGGTCTGCCTGTCGATAGACTTTTTACAGTTAAGAGTCTCCAGGGAGTGCTGTGCGCTTGAACAGAAGCTTGTTCCCACCCAGGGACCATGTGCTCCCATGCAGCAGCACCTCCAACTTCAGTTCCTCTTTTGCCGCCAAAGGAGAGCCTCTTAACTTCTACGTGGTGAGGGATTGTGTTGTGTTTCCTGTGGATTGCTTCTGAGCTCTGAGGTGGCTCAGAAGACTCTGTTTAAAAAGTGCACCTGCTGTCGTGCAAAAATGACACAGACAAGCATGATCTGTGTCTGGGGGAAGAGCATAACATATCAACTTTCAAAGCTTGCCAAAGATTCATCCCCAAAGCCCGTGGGGACAGGGCTTCAAAGCTCAAGGCAGCACTCTGGGAGAAGGCAGTTAGAGCTTTGGACCCCCCTTCTGCAAGGCTGTGGAAAAGCCTCCAACCACTGCATCATCAGTTTCAACGCGGTTGGCTCCACCCCCCACTCCAGTTCCAGATTTCAAAGGATCTGCTCAGGCTTGTGCTCGTTTCAGGTGCAGCGCACCTCATCTGAACTGCCTGCTAAAAAGGCTAAAACAAAAGGGAAGGATAAGTGAAAAGCCACCTTCCATTGTTGGACACCGGTTCAAACTCCGGAGCCAACTCAGACATTACAAGAGAAACCCATAACACCTCTGAATCGGAGGTCATCCCCGATTTCCTTATTGGAAGGGGAGGTCGAACCTGACTTACCAGTAGGTCAAGTGCCATTAGACGTTGAATTCGAACAGACGGTTCCATGGTCTCAACATCATCACCAATGAGATGACCATCCAGTCCACACACAATGCATCCGCGATACCTGGAAGAGTGACTGAGGTTGGGGGCGCTGCTGCACAGGAGCACATGGTCCCTGGGTGGGAACAAGCTGCTGTTCCGGCATGCAGCACCCCCTGGAAGCTCTTAGCTGTAAAAACCTACCAATAGGCAGGCCTGCTCATGCACAGTCCCCCATGTGTGCTTGCATAGAACATACTCAATGAACAACAGTTACAGGCAATGTTTCCTCTAAGCTATGGAGTCTTGTGAGCAAAACTTCTTCTTTGTGAACTACTAGCCTTAAAGTTGTGAGTGAGTTATTTGGTTACTGCATCAGTTAGTTTGCTCTGGAGCCATCCTTTCTGAGCTGGAGGCTAAAAAACTGTGAGCTAGCTCACACTAACTCAGCTTAGAGGGAACACTGGTTATAGGTAAGTGTAAGTTCAGTACACCAGAAGCAGGAACCCAGCCAGAAAAGCAGTTGGACAGTAATGGAGCGAAAGATTTGATGAAAGAGGACAAAGAAATTTTAGAAAAGCTGAATGAAGTCTATCTGTGTGTGTGTGTGATGTTGGACAGTTACCCATGCTGTAACTAGTACTTTTGAAGAGAATATCTGAGGAGCTGAATCAAATTGTGCTGACAAGGGATGAAATTCAAGGGTTAAGTGACAAATTAAAAACCAGGTTCAGGTGGTATATACCTTTAAAAACTCCAATGTGAAATTGCTGCTCACATAAAAATATTGCAGTGTCACAAAAAATCGGCATTCTTACCAGAGGTCTGAGCACTGCAGATATAACACTAATTTTTAAAACAGGATCTAGGAAATTACAAATCAGTTCACCTAACTTAGTGAAGTTGGGTGGAAACTGTTACTAAAGATAGAGTTATGCATATAAACATTGTGTATACACATTGTGTATGTGCATTAAGCATTATAAACAAGACCTTTAGGAAGAATCAGCATGACTTCTAAAAAAGGAGATCATGGCTGTCCGATGTTTTGGAGTTCCCTGAGATTATTAACAGTCATGTGGCCAAGGGTGATCCTGTAGTCATTGGATTGGATCCTGTGATCTATCAGGAGAAGGAGCTGATCTTCCCAGCTTTCCTCTTCCCCAAGCAGTCATTTCTGTCTTGGAAAAATTAATCCCCAAGGCCATGGGATAAACATGGAGTAATAATCAAATGGGTTGAGAGAAGTTGTGAGGGGGAGGGGGGCATAAAAATTACTCTTTGCCTCTTGCATGAGTGGAGCTCTGCTGGCAGAAAACAGTGATTTCATATCCCCTCTTCCACTGCAGTCTCCTAATCCATGTAGCTGTTTCTCAGTGCTGGTTATGTGACCCTGGGAGTAAACTTTCCTGGGGTTAGAAATGGCTGCTGGGGTTTGGGGAGGAGAGAAAGCTAGGAAGATCAGGGATTTTTGCATGGGGGATCAAACTCAAGGAATTTTCACCCAGCTTGAAATCTGCTTTATATCATACTACTGCCATCCACCTTTATAATCTGGTTTTCCAACAGCTGCAAAAAATAGGGAAAGCTTGGAAGATCAGGATTCCTTGTGCTGAATGCAACCCTGTTATTGACAGGGTTCCTCACAAAATTTTCTGAAGCCATGAGGATTGGATACTCTGGTGAATTAGTGACTGGTTAAACAGGAAGCAGAGGGTAGGAGTAAGTGGCAGTTCTCACACGCAAAACATCTGAAAAAGTGAGCATCTGAATAGATCATCTGTGCAAAACATCTAAAGAAGTGAGCAGTGACTCACAAAAGCTCATGCCCTACCACAAAAAAAATTTAAGGTGCTGCTGGGTCCTTTTTTTTCTGATGTGCAAAACAGTTGCTGGACTAGATGGCTCTTTGCTCTGATCCATCATGGCAGCTCTTATTTTCTTTTCCCCTTAATGTGAATAGCACAATGTGTCTGTTTGCTTGTTAGGAGGCTCCACTTGCATATATCCTCAGGATCTTTTTATTAGGTGCAGATGTTTTCTAGAACAATATAAATTGGGAGCACTGCAGAGTTTGCTGATCCTAAAGGCTACATAAACTACAATATTCATGTTGTTTTCTATTCAGTGACAGGAAAGATGTACACAGTTCCTAAGCCAGAGTGCAAAGAGCTGTTTTGGGAGCATCCCAGGGTTAGAATATATGCATTTTGATTAAATATATATATATTAAACAGCAATCCTTCCCACACACATTACATTTCCAACTGCTTTTGAAAGTCAGGTTGCCATGTGATATGAAAAGCTGCTGTCTGAGAAACTCAAACTCAGAATCAGTTTGATGAGGCAGAATAAGTCATGTTGTTCTTTAGATGTTGGCTATGGTTATAATTTTGTGAGTACTCTGTTTCTTCTCCTGTCTGCAAAGGATCATCTTTAGGCATTTTATTTGGCGAGATCTAATTGTTAAAACCCCTGTGCCTGCTGTGTACAAAGCAAAGCCGAACGTTCTTAATTTTTTGTGATGGTAACAGCATTATTTTTTTTCAAACAGGGTCTCGTTTTAAACAAATTGTATTAGCTTGCTTAATCAGATTTGAGTTATTGTTAACATTTGTAGTTTCAGTTAAAGGAGAATGTAATGTGTGATTTTTCATCTGTTTCAGAATGTGGACTCTGAAAAAGAAAAGGAATTAGAAAGACAAGCTCGCATTGAAGCAAGCTTGCGTGAACGTGAGAGAGAAGTTCAGAAAGCTCGTTCTGAGCAGACAAAGGAAATTGACAGAGAACGAGAACAGCACAAACGGGAAGAGGCCATTCAGAATTTCAAAGCTCTTCTGTCTGACATGGTGAGGATTCTTTGATTTAAGATTAGCAAGGGCAAACATGCTTTCATGTTTAGGGAAGATATAAAGTTATTACCTATTGATTGTGATTTGTGACATTTGGAAAGTTGGAAGGTAAGATCTAACTCTAAATGACAACAAGCTAGTAGCAACTCCTAGAGCAGTGGTGTTAAACATGTGGCCCGGGGGCCGGATCAGGCTCCTGGAGGGCTTCTATCAAGCCCGCAGTAGAACTAGTTGTCTCCTTCTTCTTCCAGTTCTGCTGCTGCAGCATCATTGTAGATTGCTTTGCCAGACTCTCTCAGTCACTCAGGAAAGATAGATAGGCAAGCTTCTGTTCCCTGCACTGGCTGAGGCTCCTCCCTCTCCTCCCCCTCCCAGGGGGACATAGGGAATGAGCCTGAGCTTGCTTCCAAGCCAGGCTGCCTGAATTGCACAGGAGAGAAAGGCAATCCTTTCTTCCATTCCATTGGCTGAGACTCCTCCCTGAACGGAAGGAGGGAGAGCTTGCTTTGCTTGGCTGCCTCAATCGCATAGGAGAAATACAAAGCACCTTTAAGACCAACAAAGTTTTATCCAAGGTATGAGCTTTTGTGTGCCTTGGTACAGTGTGTGTTTTTTAGAGAAACTAACTACTCTGGAGCTGAGAAGGGCTTTTACTGCCCTAAGGTTCCACGTCATACCCTCAATGGTCTGTATTGGCCGCTTTCTGGGTGCCCCTGCCGCTTCTAGAATATGCCTATGTGGTATGGGTGAAGTGGATGATGTCGAACATTACATTCTGAGATGTTCATGGCACGAATCACTTAGGCAAAGGTTTATTTATCCTATTGTACCTCTGTGTAATGGAATTTCAGAGCAGGATTTGACCGTTTTCTTGCTCTCTGATATTGATGCACATGTTACTAGCAGAATGGCTTTGTTTGCACTGGCGGAAAAAAAAAATAAGACTGGGTCTAGGACTTACTGCAAGTTATTGATGTATAATGTTTGTTGTGCTTTGATTTATTTTGTGTTGTTATGGCCAATAGTTAAGACAATAAACTAAACTTGAAACTTGAGTGTGTTTTTTGTTGAGCCTGTTATGCTGTGGCTCTCCTGGGTGCAATTGGGTTCCTTCCCTCTTTTCACTGTATTCATGCCCTCATGATCCAGTCTTGCTCAGTAGGAAAGCAATGTGAATTTAGATGAGGAATAACAACAAGCCAGTGAGGTGGATTAGGCTGAGAGTGTGTGTCCAGACCAAGTTCACTCAGCACATTTCCTTTGGGAATTTTGAACTTGGACTTCCTAGATAGTAGGCTGATACTGACCACTGAGGAAGACTATAGTTTTGTAGACAAACACATAGCCCTCAGTCTGTGTCATGGTGCTTTCTCATGTTCTTGACCAGCACGTGAATCAATTTATGTACAAAAGCTCGCAATGCTCAGCCATTTCATGTTTTCCCCTGGGCGCTAGGCTCAGAACTCTGAGCATGAGATTTCTGTTTTTTGTTGTTCAGTCGCACAGTCGAGTCCGACTCTTCGCGACCCCATGGACCAGATCACGCCAGGCCTTCCTGTCTTCCGCCGTCCTCTGAAGTTTGCTCAATTTCATGTTCCTCATTTGGTGGCCAAAGTATTTGAGCTTCATTTTCATTATCTGGCCTTCCAGGGAACAGTCAGGGTTGATTTCTTTTAGGATTGACTGATTTGATCTTTTTGCAGTCCAAGGGACTCTCAAGAGTCTTCTCCAGCACCATAGTTCAAAAGAATCTATTCTTCGGCGCTCGGCCTTCCTTATAGTCCAACTCTCGCAGCCATACATGACTACTGGGAATACCATTGCTTTGACCATGCGGACTTTTGTTGGCAGGGTGATGTCTCTACTTTTTATCATGCTGTTTCTGTAGTGAATGTCAATAAATCAAAAGTAGGTTTGCGGCTTACAGATACACACTTGAACAGCATACTCAAGATTGCAACAGCACAGTCATTTTGATGCAATAATTCAGAGCAAGAGGTGTCAGTTATCAGACACTGTTAAATAAACAAAATATTGCAAGAGTGCTAATGTTTTAAGCATGTTTTTAAGTAAAAAACACACACACGGCCCAGCCCAACAAGGTCTCATTTATGTCAGATCCGGCCCTCATAACAAATGAGTTTGACACCCCTGTCCTAGAGTGTAAGTTCTGTTCCATAGTTTTCTTGCATCTCTGTTTTATCAAGGAATCTATACCCCTAAGTACCAAAAATAGAGGGGTTGTATTTTTCATTGGAGTTAAATTGAGTAACAACAAAGATACTATAGTTGTCCGTATCCAGAGGAGTTTTCACAGAATGAAATAAATGTTCTGAATGAATAATACATCCAGTAGGAAGGACCACCTGCTCCCATGTGAGCCAGCCCAACAGTTGAGGACATCTTTTGAGGCCTTTCAAGTATGTGACTTCACATTTTGGAGGGTGGTTACCAGAGAGAGAGAGCCTTTTCTTTATGGCATATCTAAGTCTTAGCCATTTTCCTGACATCTTATTTTCATGTGTCAAGTTAAATCTAATAATTTATCCAGCATCTGACTAACTGTGTGGGTTTGGAGGGTTTGATTCTATTTCAACTCTACTACTCTTTCTTTTGGGATAATATTTGTTGTTTATTGCTCCCAGCGACTTGGCTGAGGGGATGACATCGAAATCTGATATAATGCACATTTGCATAACGTTGATGACTTAATAATTCTGATTGTGATTATTTTTGCACAATTCTGGCTAGGGCAACAAATGGAGGCAAGCATGAGAAGATAAGGATGAGGAAAGCAAAAACCTCTGGGTGTGGGATCTAGAGATCCTTGGATGCAAAGACTGCAGATCTTTTGTATATTCCTCTCCTCCCATTATCTCTTACCAACCCTAGGAATGCAGGACTTGTATAGACTAATAGCTACTCTTCCATTACCCCACGTCTACTGACATAAAAGGCAGGAATAGCAATTTCATCTCTTCCCTTCCACGCAGAAACTCCACAACCCTGGGAATGAACTTTCTTGGGGTGCGATGGGACTGCTGAGATGAGGAGGAATGCAGGAAAAAAATTGCAGTTGACAGCCCTTTACATTGAGAGATTGCTGAATCTAACCCTTTGTCTTTCTCAAGAATACAGGCAATTTCCATTAATCCATTTTATTTCTGTCCCATCAGCACACTCTTTCTGTGTGTTTTAAACTTTTTTTGCAAACTTGAAAGCTTGTTTTTAAAAAATTACAAATAACTTTGTGGGAAATTTGCTGAGTTCTTATTTAGATCCCAAGTTCCACAGAGACTCTGAATCTGAAGAGCAGCCCCCATACTGCCAGTTTTTCATGGATTATTGCATGATGTATGTTGAAGCATTGTATAGTACGGTGGCTGTATTGGGGGTGGGGGGATGGATACGCACACAACGTATACTATTAGTATAGTATAATATTAATATAGTGGCTAATACTGAATGAGATTTTTTAGCCAAGCAAGGGTTCTCTGTACTTCAGGCACCACCACAGTACTGAATATGAAGATTGGGATAATAATAATCCACTATACTGGATTTTTGTTGTTTGTTAGGATTACTGAGGTAATGTATGTATGAAGCATTTTATAGTATTCAAAGTGCTGTGTACATTTTAAGTATTGCTGATATTGCATCAGAAGAGTACCTATAACCTGAGATTCAGAATGCCCCACCCTCTAGCTACCTCCTCCCTTTCGCTCGCCTCCACCGTCCTCCTCCTTATCTTCCTGCTGCCCTGTCCTCCTCTTCTCTGTTGCTCCTACTGCTACCACCCCTCTCCCCTTTGCCCTTCAGCCAGCTCCTGCTTTCCATCAACTTCCTCTTCTCTGGTAGCAGCAGCAGCCATCTTCCCCTCCCATTACTGCTGTATCTTTCTTGCTCCCTAGCTCTCCTGCCACTTCTTTCCTTAACGCTGCTTTCACCACACTCATGGCACAGTGGTTTACTGGGATTGCTAAGCAACTGCCAAAATGGCAGCTGAGATCTTGTAATATAATGTTATAATATCTCATTTTTCAACTGTTTGTAGGGATGTTAAATGCTCCCTCCTTTTTGTTTTGTTTTGTTCTTTTTGGATTTTTCTGCAGACCAATGGATTTTCCCTGATTTATCAAAAAACAACCAAAAACCCACCTCTTCCCAATAAGAAGAGATAGGAGGCAGCAGTCTACTAGAACACGCAGTGAGATAATAAGAAAGCAGAAGAGGATAGAATATGATGAAAAGGGGTGGGAGGAGTGGTGAAGAAGAGAAGTAGAAGGGAAGATTGTTTCCCTTCTTATATTCTCATCAAAATCCAGTTTGTTTTTTTTAAATCAAGGACTGCAATACTAGAAGGCTCCTGCTGATGTCAGAGTAATGTTTTCATGAATCTCCCTGTTTTACACAGCCAGAATATGGACATCTTACTTCCTTGTGTTTTTGAAAACATACAGAAGCAAGATTCTCAATAGTTAGCCAAACGTTTGAAATGACTTTATGTATAGTCATCAGTGTTCCTTCTAAGCTGAGTGAGTGTGAGCGAGCTCACAGTTTTTTAGCCTCCAGCTCCCACATTTTTGTCTTAGCTCAGGAAGGATGGCTCCAGAGCAAACTAATTTATGCAGCAGCCAAATCGCTCACTCACAACTTTAATGCCGACAGCTCACAAAGTAGAATTTTTGCTCACAAGACTCCACGGCTTAGAGGGAGCACTGATAGTCATATGAACTTTTTTTGTATTAGGTGCGATCTTCAGATGTGTCATGGTCTGATACTAGAAGGACACTGCGTAAAGATCATCGGTGGGAATCTGGCTCCCTTCTGGAAAGAGAAGAGAAGGAAAAGCTATTTAATGAACATATTGAGGCACTTACAAAGAAGAAGAAAGAGCATTTTCGCCAACTGCTGGATGAAACTTCATCAGTAAGGAAGGTGTTTCTACAACCAAGGAAGTCAGGATTGTGGGGGGAGGGGGGAGGACCACTCAGCTGCCTAACCGGAAGGTGGTACTTTATATTCTCATTTCTAAGCATAATGGCTTGGGTCCTGTATCTATGGTCAACATGCACATCTCTTCAGGTGCTGTGGAGTTAGGCCTCCACTGCACAGCTTGGTTTCTCTGGTACTGGGCACTTCCATTTGCACACCTCCAGTGTTGATTTCAAGGAGCCCTAATGTACCTAGAACAAGAGGAAGTGAGCTCCACAGCGGAGGACTGCTTCCACTTTGCCCTGATCCAAACCAGTACTGATAAGCTTTACTAATAAAAAGTTGCAGACAAAATTCTGTGCAAAAATTAGCTGGCCTTTAAAAAAAAAAAAAGCAGTGCAAAAAAAATCCCTGCTTTTGTATTTGTTTACAGAAACTATCTGCAAGGCAGGTGGCAAAGCATCCCAGGCCCCCTTGAGTCCAGTGACTCCTGCCCTGAAGTCATATCCCTGATAGCTTTCCTGTCACCTTAAACATTTTCAGTAATGAAAATTCAGTGGAACTTTGCCTCCTACATATCTATTCTTTAGGTTGTGCATACTGTTTTGGTTCTGATGCTATTTCACTTAGTCTTTACCACCGCAAACTGTATTGTAATAAATACTTTTCCCTGTTTGTTATTTTTATCCACTACTGTTAAATGCTTAGGCTATACGGCCCATCTTATGCATGAGCCTTTTTATTATGTTAGTGGCCAAAATATTTTGATTGATCTGTGGGGATAGTAGGTATGTTTTTAGCATATACCTGTAAACCTGGAGCACAGACAAACAGTGAAGTTACTGGGTGCCATTGAGATTGGTAGGTCTTGAAGCAAGTAGTCCCGTTTATTTCAGTAGTGTATATGTGCATCAGTTCCATTTTCCTTTTTGTATATTAGGTGTCAGTTCTAACAGTTAAAAGGCAAGCCAATAAAGAAGAATGAAATGATCAGTTTCTATCAACTTAACTTTATCCATATAGCAACAAGCCTAACAGCTTACTTATCAGCAGTGGCTTGTACTGATTTACATTCTACTGAATTAAGTACTTCATATTTTTAAAACTAAGCATTCTATTTAAAATACATAGTTTCTCCACTTGAGTAATTTAAAAAGATTTGTACAGTGAAGCAGCATGGAGGCAATAATGCAAACTAACAGAATAATGAATCCGTGTTGGCCCTGATATATGAGCCTACCTAGCACTCAGGGCTCTCCTCCTTCATTCCCTTCAGTTTGTACACAAAAAGCATGATGGGGTTGTATGTGTTTTCCGTCCCCCGTCTCCCCCCCCCCACTGTAATGTGCAGAACCAGAAAGTATTGGCTGTATGTGTTCAGCAGCAGTAGGTCATCTGCTTTTGCATGTTAGTTCCTGGACTGAGACATACCTACACATCTATAGAGGAAATTTTGCATCTCTGGAACAGCCTCTAATGCTAGCTTGCAGCTACTTGTCTCTGTGCCTAGATTGTCCCTTGTTTATTGGTGCCCTTCTCTTGAACTTGCTCTTTCAGGTACTGGACATTTGTCAGGCCTAGCATTGTTTCCTCATATATAAGCTTGTAATGTTTCTCTTTGTCTGTTTCAAAAGATTACCTTAACATCAACATGGAAAGAAGTAAAGAAAATCATTAAAGAAGATCCCAGGTGCATTAAATTCTCTTCCAGTGACAGGGTAAGAATCCCCATGATGCTGCTGTTAGGTTTTTCATTTGTTCTTAAAACCAGGTATATTTTCCTCTTCGCTTTAATCTTTATAAAGTTATGTAAGTATGTGTTTCACATCTAATAATCTCTCTCATAAAATTGTACTGATTACTTCCTTTTATTTTTTATTTCATACAGAAAAAACAAAGGGAGTTTGAAGAGTATATAAGAGACAAATATATTACAGCCAAAGCAGATTTCCGGACACTTTTGAAAGAGACCAAATTTATAACATACAGGTATGCATCCAGATGCAGTGCAGTCTTTTGAATTCTATATTCTGCTCTTTTTTATATTTATGTCCTGTGTACATTTAATTATAATTATAAGTGTCTCTTAATTCATTGGGGGCTGCTCCTTTGACTAGGAATTGCTTCTAAGTAAAGATGCACTGGCAGCCCTTGAGAATGAAGCTTTCAGTTTGCCTACAGAACAGATGCAGTATAGGCAGTGATAGCACAAGCTTTTTTCCCTCTTTACACTTGCTCATTCCTGCCATTGTGGCTCACTGTAATCTGAAGATGTATATCTGCAGGTGAAAGGGGTATTGTAGTATCGGTGTACTTCACCATCTGGCCAATTAGAATACATTTTCAAGAGAGAGAATTTTATAAACTTATTTACAAAATGTATACCCTCCCTTTCTAACCTCATCAGGGCAAACAAGGCAGCTAACAGACTAAAAGTATACATGATAAAAACACATCTCAAAAACATTAAAACAACAGTCAAAACATAGGGCAGGCAGGAGGGATCGTTGAAATGCCAGCTGAAACAGTGCCAAGCAGACGATGGAAACAGAAGAGACAGGCAAGTCTCACTGGGGGAAAGTTCCAGAGTTTTGGTGCCATGACCGTAAAGGCCCTCTCCTGGGTTACCACCTGCCTGATCTCAGGAGGTGGGGGCATCCAAAGCAGGGCCTTGGAAGATGACCATAGCAGTTAGATAGGTTTATAGGTATGCTGGTCTCAAGTAATATAGGGCTTTCAACACCAGCACTGAATTGTGCCTGTAAACAGATTGGGAGCCAGTGTAGATGGACTGGAGCAATATGGTCTCTACAGCCCTCCCCAGTCAACATCCTTCCTTCAGCATTCTGTACCAACTGAAGCTTCTGAGTACTTTTCAAGGGCAGCCCCACATACCATGCATTGCAGTAATCTAGATGAAACCAGTGGCCAGATCTTTTCTGCCAAGGAAAGGCTGCAGCTGGTAAACGGCACTCCTGGCTACAGCTGCCACCTTCTTATCCTGCAGTATGTCTGTGTCCAAGAGCACTCCCAACGACAGATCTGTTACTTCAGAGGGAGTGTAACCCAATCCAGAATGAGTGACTCCTTAAGTCCTGGGACAGACTTTCCATTGATCAGTAGCACATCTGTTTTGTTAGGGTCCAGTCTATTAGTCTGCATCCACTCCAAAGCTTCCTTCAGGCACTGGTGGGTAGAATTGCTACAGGATGGTGTGGTGGTGGTGGGTGAAATTCTACGGGGACCTTACCTACTTGTATCTTCGATATTTATCTCTCATGCCTAACTATTTGCATGATGGTATCCCCTGTGCTTATTTTCAGATCCAAAAAGTTGATTCAAGAATCTGACCAGCATCTGAAGGATATCGAAAAGATATTACAGAATGACAAACGTTATTTGGTACTTGACTGTGTGCCGGAAGAGAGACGCAAACTTATTGTGTCCTATGTAGATGATTTAGATCGCAGAGGTCCCCCTCCACCACCCACAGCTTCAGAACCTACAAGACGAACAACAAAATAGTTATAATGTACTCTTGAGCAAGAGTATCTGTTAAGTCAAGAAGCTTGCATGAGCCATCTGTCAGGTTTAATCATACACATTACCATGAACTTACTGCAGAACCATCCAAGGAGCAGAGGAAAAGCAGCGTTTGTGAACATAAAGCAGTCCCTTGTACAGAGAGAATATTTGCATTGGTGCTTTTTTCTCTTTGTTGCATGACTGACAAATATTCTAACCATGCAGCTATCTCCAGTGATTTTAAGGTCCTAGAACAATGATCTGTGTACAAGATGTGAATGTTGGTAGCATTTGGAGTCATTCTTCTCAGCAGTGTTATTTGTGAAAGCCTTGGGATGATTGATATTTGTGGTCTGAAGTTAAAAACTACATGAGTACTACAGATGTCCTAATGGGAGATCTAAGGTCAGGCACTCTGATGATTAAACTATTGATGGCTGAAGGCCCCAGTAAGATTATGTCCCTTTGCAAACCTGAAAATATAGGGACTAATTCTTTACTCATGTGGCCTTTCCTACATAAATCAGGAATAACTCCATTAATGTCAGATCCAGCATGAGAGGCGAATGAACCTTGCAGAGACCAAATTGAATAAATACCTTTTGATCTTGTTCACAGGCCTGCTTTGATCCCCCATCCCCCCCATTATAGGCACAATCAAGTTGCTTTGCCCAGTAGTCTGGTAATGTTTTTGCTGTAAATTGGAAATATACACACACACAAAGCCCAGTGTGTTCCTTCCCAAGATAGCACGGTTGTACAAAACACTTTTATTTACCATAAAGTGATCTCTACCACCTCTAAATTAGACTATGGATTTCCCTTCTGGATATTTCTTGTAAACTATATTCCTGTTTTGAATGTCAAACTTGTGTTTCTAAAGTTTAATTTTGAAATGTTGGGATTGTTCAGTTTATGTATTTGAACGACAATAAACCAACCCTTTTTATATATGGATTGTATATGCCTAGTAATGGTTTATTACATTCTTATTGAATGTTTAATTTGTGTGTCTGGCAGTATGCAGTCACTTGTATTGGTCTAGAATAGTTTGAGGTAAATTGGTGACAGGTCTGAAGTACTGTAGATGTCAGAGCATTATAGTTGTGCCCAAATGTAATATAAGTTTAATTATACAACAGGACCACAGTATTAGTCAGGTTTCACCGTTAGAGGGGAGACGTTGGGGGATTCTGCTCTCCTTACTATTACAGCTCTTCTCTTATTAGTTGTGTCCTAAAATGTTTGATTAATCTGTTTATTTGCTGAGTTGGATAATTGTGTACTAATTGGAGGGTCTAGGTTGAACCTAAAGGGAAGGAGGAGGCTTAGCTTTTTCCAAATTGTAATGCTACCTCACCTAGGTAGCACATAAAACTTTGTCAGAGGTTTTCACCAAGAATAGTTGTTTCAGTCTTTACAGTAAATTTCTTTCTTTTTTTCTTTCATCTGAATGTGAGAGTAATGTGGAGGACAAATCTGGCCAAACGATATACTAGTTCCCATGGTGAGGTATTGTATATTTTGTGGCAAGTTTCAGATTGCAAATCGAAAATACTTTTTTAAATTCTAAGAACTACAACACGCTTTACCCTCAAATGCTTATTTTAAAATGTGTAATAAGCCAAAATAAATGAGTTCCATCAGGGGCTTTTCTTCAAAAATTCAGGACCATTTTCACTATTTAGTACCCTTGGGTTTATTTGCTACAGGTAATATACATTTACGAACATTTTGTCTTTTAAAATTTATTTTAGACAACTCTTTGAACTGTATTGCTCAAAGGATGTTTGCATGTTTCCGATGAATCACCACAGGGGTCAGAGATTCTTGCCACTGGTCATCAGCATTTTAATTTGGAGCAATCATTAGGTCCACAGCTTGAATCTTACCTTTCCTAAAGGCTTAATTTTTACAAACTTGTTTCTAAAGGGGAAAAGTGAGATAATCAGCAATTGTTGCTGTGGTTGTATCAAATACAGCACTTGCCCACACAATGTATAGCTGGAGCAGCTTGACTGCATACCAACTGCATAAACTCATTAAACCCAAATAATTGGATCCAGAGGGTCCCTTCCACTAGGAGTAATATTTTATTGGATGGTGACTTTTCATTGCATGGACGTCTTTCTCCAGTGCAAGATTCCTCCATTGGTGAAAGGAAATAGTTGCATCTAAACCATAGAGTATCGCAAATAATAAACCAATACAGTTACAATCAAATTAGAAGCCAGCATTAAGTGTAGTCATATTGGTGAAAGGTTCAGTGTTTTGCACAAGCTGAACCTAAGACTTTATAAAGTTTTTAAACTAGCATGTTTCACTACACATATGCAATCCAAAAGTTCCATCTGGAATAAGAGAGCTGCGTCACAGGATCTCTTGGAATGGTAACAAGGTACTGGAGCACACATACACAGTTTTACTCCTCTACATCCTTTAGTCATATTTGTATGCAATCTCTGTATCAATATATCTTAATTCTCAAGATGGCACCTTCTATGGATATTTAAATCCAGAGCTTGGGGATATGGTCAGACCAGACATGAGAAAAGCCCTAGGTTTGCAGACAAATCTGAAATCTTAAAAAAAAAAAACCTGGGTAGTTAAAACCCTTATTTTGATAGAAACAGCATCTGTAGTTTTAAGAAACAAATGCCCTTAGTAGCTGTTGCTAGACAACTACAGTAGTATTGCCAACCTTCAAGTCTAGTTTTGCCTCAGTAAAAGGGAGGGGGCAGGACTTTTTTCAAGACCTATTTTGGCCTTTTAAGGGAGAACTTGCCATGGTCAGCAGCAAATACCAAGTGACTTGCTTCCCTCTAAGCTGAGTTAGTGTGAGCTTGCTCACAGTTTTTAAACCTCCGGCTCACACATTTTTGTCTAAGCTCAGGAAGGATGGCTCCAGAGCAAACTAATTTATGCAACAGCCAAATTGCTTGCTCACAACTTTAATGCCAGTAGCTCACAAAGTAGAATTTTTGCTCACAAGACTCCACAGCTAAGCTTGGAGGGAGCATTACAACATGCATAATTTACCCAGGCCTAGCTGCTGGCTACTGTTCAACAACTGCAACCTCACAATTAGTGTTGTGTAGTGGTTGGAGTTTCAGATTAGGATCTGTAAGACCCAGGCTCAAATGCCCACTCTGCTATGGAAGCTCACCGGGTGACTTTGGGCCAGTCAGACTTTCAGCCTAACCTACTCCAAAGGAGGATAATGGGACTGCTAGAAGGATGGTGGCGGCTACAAGCATGGACAGCTTCAAAAGGGAATTAGATAGGCATATGGAGCAGAGGTCCATCAGTGGCTATTAGCCACAAGGTATAGATAGGGGCTCTGGGGCAAGTGATGCTCTGTCTTCTTGGTGCTTGGGGGGCCAACAGTGGGAGGGCTTCTAATGTCCTGGCCCCACTGGTGGACCTCCTGATGGCACCTGGTATTTTTGGCCACCCTGTGACAGTGTTGGACTAGATGGGCCTTTGGCCTGATCCAACATTGGCTTCTCTTATGTTCTTATGGAAGAGGAAATAGTGTGGGGAAGAGGATACAGAGGGAAAGTGAGGTGCCCCTGCAAGACCTTGAAGGTTCCCCACAATGCAACTGGGTCCAGCCTGCCAGCATGACACAATGGGTACCGTGCAGCTAGGCTCAGCCTGTCAACTGGCACAGTGCAACTCTGCTAGAGAGGAGATAGAGTTTGGCTGGTGGGTCGAAAAGAGAGAGGTTATAGGATAGGTAAAGAGGCGATAGTGGGGGAGGGGGAATGAGGTGCTCCTGCAAGTGCTTGTGGTGCGCTCTCATATGTGTGGGGGGAGGGGGTATAATTTTTTTGGACCACATAGTGCAGCTCCTGAGACTGATGAAATGTTGCTGACCAATTCTGTTAACTGGTGGGGCATAATGCATTGGAAACATCTCCAAGTAGAGCATTTAAAGAGGCTTCCATCAGTTAATTTCTATCAACAACAAAAGCATAATTGAGCAAATATGGTGCAAACTGGAACTGATTGCAATTGGAACAGCTGTTTCTACAAACATAGATGGGTCCCTTTGCTGTATGTATCCGAGCCTTTGCTGTATGAATACTTGCACACTGGATCAGCTTGCCAAATCTACGCAAGTGGACAGGACTAACAGGTCTGCCCCTTTCAAAAAGCTGGTTTGCTGGAGTCAATTTTACCTTGTATAAATAGTTGTTTTAGTAGCTGTGTTAGAGAACGTGTGTTGTTTGACACTGGAAAAAGGCAAATTTTGTTCTGTAGTAATTATTTCCAGAATTGCAAAGTAAAGCAGAAACAAGAACATAGGATTTCTAGAAGCTGGGCCATACCTGATGTATGGAGTTTGTGTTTGCCTAATGGGCAACTCTGAAGATCCATCTTGGATCCACAGGCACCCTGTGCAAGAGGAGTCCCTGATTGTTGCCAGTTTCCCCCTTCCCCAAGGCCACCTCACTCACCAGGCAATTCAGAAGTGTACCCAACCCTTAGTGGCTTTCAGGTGAGGGCCGGGGTTGCAGTGAGAAAAAGTATGCAGGAAAGCCTTGTTGTGCAAGCAGAACTTTGCCTGCAGTTTGCTGGAGCCAAGCATATTGAACAAGATTTAATTTTCATATTAAAATACAACACTATTTTAAATCAAGGTATCCAGCTATATCTAAATGATGTAGTTTTTACAAAACTCTTGTGTATTTAAGTAAAATTCTTGTGAGTACAATGTAACAGAACTGATTGTTGTTATGCTCCTGAATGGTATCAAACTAGCCTTACTGCAAATATTCTGCAATTGTCCAAATGAGTATAATGCATTTAAAATGAGGACAGAAAAATGCCTACTTGCATAGCATGGAGCTCTGTGCCTAAAATATGAACCTGGCTTCTATCATTTGTGTACAGTGGTAAGACAGTTAGTACAACAAGAACATTTACCAGGGAAACATGTCCCCTTTTTCTTTGAGAACGTTTAATACTGTTGTCATAATAAGAAAATGTGGAAAATGTACTCTTTCATTAATAAAAATCAAATTACATTTTTTGCTCTGCACCTTTTTGCATTGAACAAATTCAGAGCAGTAACTTTTCACTTGAAGCAAACACATACAAAGCCTGTTACTTGAACTATAAATAAGCACAAAGCCCTTCTGCTTTATAGTTAGGATCATGCACTCTTCTCACTCAGCTCATTTACTGAAGCAGAGCTGCCTTGTTAACTTAACCAATTCATGTTTCCCCCCCTGAAATGCCTAGTTTAAACCACCCTCCTGAAAGTGCAGAACATGAATTTAAAGTAAGATACATAATAAAACCTTGGAGCAAAATGGTTCAACTACGAAGTCTGCTGTCTCTGTACATAACATGAATTTTGAAGTCCCAAACCCTATGTAACACATGCAAAGATAAAACTAATATAGTCCGTGTAACAACAATGCTTTACATGCCTCAAATACCAGTTCAGCGTTACCTCAAAATAAGCCACAAAATTATAACAACTTTTTGTTTGCCTTGACAGCTAACTGCTTCAGTTTTTTTGATCACTACCTACTGTCTCTTGTTCTTCATGTTCCCAAGGAATAGGGTCATTGTCTTGAGCATCAGGGACTGCTTCTCTGTCGTGCCAAAACTGCTCAACATCTGGCAAAGCAGGCATCTCTTTCTTGATTTCCATGCTTTCTGAGGTATGGGGTACAGCTGGGGGTTCTGTCTCTTGATTAGAAGCCACAGACTCCGGTGATGGAGCAGAATTGGGGAGGTCCTCCAAGTTATCAGCTGCTGTTTCCTCCTGACATTCTGGGGTAGGCAGAGGCTTTTTCAGTGTAAGCCTTTTCCACAAGCCTTTGAAACCCTCTCTGAATTCTTCAGACATAAGTACAAAGATGAGTGGGTTGGCTGAAGAGATGGCAAACATCAGGACTTGGGTAGTGGCCATGAATCCTTGTGGGGGAGCAGGCCCATCCTTATTTAGGTGCCAAAGCCACAGCCAAGATATCCAGTCA